AAAAAAAAAAAACACACACAGATTCAGTATTCCTCACAATGAATAAAAATAATGCAACTCGGAATATGACGCGGACCTGCAATAAATGTATGTTAAACAACACAAATATCCTTTATGTATTTAATCCCATTCTATTAACCAATGTCTTTGCTTCTGACCTTCAATGATCCAGTCCAACAATACTAATAAGCAAAAATTACTCTAGAAAAACATTTGTGTGTTTTTTTTTATTGCTGAAGTGTGTTGAAAAAAGTAAATACGTATGTAGGCTACTGTCAAATCAATTGTGTACATAATATATGTGTGTGTATATTTATATGTATATATAGCTAAATACACATACATACATGTATATAAGAAATATTTATGTGTGTGTGTGTGTGTGTATTTATTTTGGTTGCAATTAATCGATTTGACAGCCTTAGTATATATTTGTAAAGATAAAAAATTGGCATCTTCCACAGTATATGTATTTATGTAATAGCTTAACAGCAAAACTTTTGAGAGCCAAACACACACAGAGGGACATAACATTTAAATAAATACAGATCTTCAAAGTTAGATATTTCTACAGACAGATACTTCTGCTATCGAGCATATTTCGGTCTGATCTAGGTGCCCCCGGACCGCGATTTCTACCGAGGGGACCATAGACCCCCCCCCACCCCTTCTCAATCAGGACCCTCGTACCGCCAGTATCCCCCTGCCCCGCCAGAGGTCTGTGCACGCCACTGACACCCATAGTAGCCCACACATTTGGTTCAAAGAGAATATTTAAAAGTGCAAGTTTTTCTGGTCTTAGAGTTTATACAATAGCTATGGATGCAGCAGCATGCCACTGACTCGCACACATATTTGACCTATTATTCATTTATTCCACAATCAAAAAAGTGAATACTTTTCAGATGAATTCATTTCAAGTGAATGCCACATTTTTTAAAAAGCACAATATTTTAGTGGTAAAACCTACACTGCATCATACACTGTATATATATATTTTCTGTTAATCCTATAACTATGTATGCATTAATGTACACTACAGGATTTCATATTTTCTACATGTAGCAGAACAATGGCATTCATCTCTATTCTGAACCAGAAACTTCTTAAAATAAAATGAGAGGTCAAACACTTAAGGGGGTCAAAAGGGACCGTAGTCTGTCTCCAAAGTCAAAGCCATCAAAAGTGTGTCCTTTCTTCCCTGCAGTGGGGGGGATTTCTGAGTGGCCAGAGCATCATCATAGTACACCATTCTTACAGATGTTTACTTTCAGAACATCTGGAGCCCACACAAGCTCACTGAAGGGTCTAGGACATCGTTTGAACTCCATATAAGGGCATGACCAGCTGGGGGACATTCCATGCACAGACAGTCAAAGGCATTCCGGCTGTGGAAAACACATCCTCTCTCTTACCGTCTGCATCTGAGTGTGTGTTTCTCATCTTGAGACATGAGACACGATTACAACACTGAATGCTTTTACAAATGCCAAGTTTGCTTTGTGCACTACAGGGAAAGTGGTTATGAGTTTGGACTGCTTGGAGAGATAAAGCGTGTTTGTGTGTGTTGTGTGAGACTTACCATCTGTTCTTTGGGTTAAAGAAAACATGTCTGATTTGTGCGGCATCTTCCAAAACGTCTTGTTCCCTGTGATATGAAGTTACATGTAGTGCTTCCTTATCTATAATTAAATATCTACAACATGTACTAATCACTTTCATTAATAGAAACATCCATCAGTTCATTGAATCTTGTCTAGTTTATCATATGATAAACATCCAAGCATTACAACAGGCTTTAGGTTTTCACTTGAACTTTTATTAATACATCATTCCACATATATAACCAAATGGGTGTTATCTTTATCTAACAAAAACAGTGCTTGGGTTAGAAGCGTCCTTTTAGTACTGATCCTAGACCAGTTTACAATACCCACAGCCTTAAAGTGTTCATTCACCTAAAGATGAAGATCCAATCTTTACTAGCTCTCATGCTGTTAATTTCCGATCTTCTGTAGAACACTAAAACAGGATATTTGGAGAATGTCCAAGCTGTGATATACCTGGGTTAATCTCCAAAATGGACAAAACACAGTAAAAAAAAACAAAATGTCTCCCAAATCTCATTCACCCTCAATTCTAAATATTCAAACAGCGAGATCAGCCATAAGAAACCTGAACCAATTGTATTAGATATCATTCAAACCAAACCAAATGTGGCACAATGCTTCTTGAGGCGCAATGTTTTGAGACTTACAAACATGAATGAGATTTGAAAGCTATGATGGAGATCTTGTATTTCACTCTGCTCATCATTCAGTTTTATCATATGGTTTCAGAATACCTTTAATATAGTGCATGTGTCATATGGACCACTGTTATGGTGCTTTTTTTTGTTTTGTTTTTACAGTACTTTCATTGCATGAAAAAAGAGCAGCTTGGACATTCTGCAAAATAATTCCTTTTGTGTTTCACAGAAATAAAATATGGGTTTGGAGCAACATGAGGTAAATTCATTTTTAGGCAAACTATTCCTTTTATTCCGCCATTAAAAGGCATCAAAGCTGGTCTCAGATCAGCTACAGTGGGCAACTTCTACCCATCTATACTAAGCAAGAGGATAACCATATATAGTACAATGAGTATAAGTAGGAGCAGACATGGAAGATAAGAGAGAAAGGGAGATGGGTAATGGAAAGAATGAAAATATCGTATGAGTACCAATCCAGCCAAATGCAAATGAAGAGAAAGAGAGCGAGAGAGAGCTGGAACCCAATGCAGGAACACCAGAAGCGCATGTCAGAAATACACCGGTCTTAACCAGACTCCAGGACCTGGCAGAGACACTTCTTTTGTTCCAATACTCTTACCATGAGCTCACTAATGTCTTGGTAGATACTAATGGGGAAGGTACAGTAATCTTATTCTTGGAGGCTATTTTTAAGTCAGTTTCGATGCCAATAAACATTCTGTACAGATTAAAAGTTTCAAAGTTTCCTACTTGTCCACCTTATTTTCCCTACAACTTCCATTACACAGGCAGCATTTTCAGTTCTTGAACTTTCCATGGCTCTCATGCATTACATTCACAATCTTATGATTATGCTTAACAATCTGACAACATGTAAGGCCATGTAAACATGTAAGGCCCCATAAACTGTGTTCTTTATCAAGTAAAGGTCAAAACCCAAATGGCACACTGATTTTTTTCACTCTGTGTAAGAACACCTTTAATAGTGTACAGTTTATTAAACATGTGCATGTCTGTTTATATTTTGACGTTGACAGATTATATTTTGACGTTATTTATGAGCAAATTCTTGATAGTTTTTATCGTTTTACTGTATGTCGTTTTACAGACTCATTGGTTTCCATGTATTTTCTAATTCATTTTAGGTTTTTCTGAATTATTATTAATAATTTTTTTTTTTGTGGATTAACTTGAGGATTAAATGTTCACCTCAAGACTAGCCATGTGCGCTAACAAAATAAATAGTGTACATTTTTATTTCATGTGGACTTTAACTCTCTATGGTAATCTGTAGCCACATTTGGAACATTTTGGTGAGATTTTGCAGGGCAAAAAAATGTCCCTTGTCAAGAGTTAAGCGATGAATGAAGCTCAGTTCACACAGAAGTCACTTTCAAATGCAGCGAATTCACATGACCAACTTGAACACAAGCGAAATCTGAATGGGAAACTTTTTTTTACCCTCATGTGAAACTCCAGATCGTACAGATTCCTATTGAAACGAGTGGATTTCGCCTGCAAATTTTTGTCTAGCAGCAGTAAATGTGACCGCACCTTAGGGAGCTTTGCAGGTGTACTGGAACAGAGAAGTCTTTTCAAGTTACGTTCCAAAAAACACTGAAATATAGATCAGGAGTTTTTTTTACTTAGTGAAACGACACCACCAAATATTACTCTTAAAAGCACTTTGTTGTGCGGCCTTCACATGGACAGTGGTATCTTAAGAGTAAGACTTTGCTAACACCAAGTATATGACACAAAAGAGACCACAATGAACAAGAAGAAAGAAACAGCAAACAACAATGTACATAAGGTTACAGAGTAATGCCGAACCATTGATCCTATCCATGCACCAGTAAGGCAACCTACATCATCTTATCTTTTAATTCTTCTGTATAAAGTTACAGTTTAACTGTGCTATAAGCTCTATTACTCTAATTCTACAGCTTTTGCTTGGACTGCTGCTATCAAATTTGTAATCAGAGTCTAGAGGGTGGTAGGGTTCATTTAAACGCCCCCCTCACACACATTTTGCAACATAGCTTTTTATTCGTCTACTCACATTCCACGAAATATTTGCGGCTGCAAACAAAGCACATTTGTTTCGGATTATTCCATTAAACTAATTCTGTATATATGAATTTGAATTTACATAGCTTTTTATTCGTCTACTCACATTCCACGAAATATTTGCGGCTGCAAACAAAGCACATTTGTTTGGGATTATTCCATTAAACTAATTCTGTGCAGCACTCCTAGTGTCTGATGTGAATTTAAAGCTTCATGGTTTACAATGATAAAATATATCAATTTCAAAAGTTTTTTAAAGGTTTGATTTTTGAAACCTATTCTCTGGAAATAAATACTGCACGGATTGACTCATTTTAAAAGCTGGAATAGTGACTGTGTGTTTGCAGTGTGTGTGTGTGTGTTTGCAGATGTATTGCCTCACAAATCTTTCGTTTTAATGAGTGCGACTAGAGGCTTGTCATCAGGGCTGTAATCTTCATAACTGATGGGAGTCGCATCATACATTGCTGGTCTGGATTTCTTCCCAAACCTGTAACACACACAAAGGAATAGGACTGAAACATTAAGTCGATATTATCGATAACATCAACAATAAAAAAAATTGTCAACAAATGTTTTTGTTTTCGCTTGTTGACCTAATGTAAAGGCCTGTAATAACGCGGTTTGACCAGCGTGGCGCTGTAGCGCAAGACTGTAATTCAGTCCTCCCGGCTGCAATCCAACAGACTACGACACGCTTATGAGAAGTGCAAATGAAACGTTAAAGTTGGTGTTTGTAAGTTTTAGACTCTACTAAAGCATAAAAATATCATAATACTCCAATATTTTGAATTTGGACTGCAATACCTAGTTCAACCACTCTGTGTCAATCCTACATACAGCACCTTTAAGAAAGCATTTGATTATAGCGATGTGGATGTTTGCACAAGCTCTGCAATCGGCACTCCAGTCAAGTCACATCACGTTTATTTATATAACGCTTTATGCAATAGATTGCTTTAAAGCAAGCAGCTTTACAGTATTAAAGGTAGGGCAGGTGATTTCGGAGAGGCTAGCAATAGCATGCCAGCTTTGAAAGCATAAGATCCCACCCTCCCTGCATAATCACTCTCCAAAGCACACGAACGCGCAGAGGCTAACCAGCGACACGATGAGAGACGGCATTGGTGGAGGGTTGAATGCAACGCTGTCAGATTATCTCATGTCTCATTCACCGGTGAGAAAACTTTAGAGTATAAAGTGCATAATATTACAATAATAACGGGCTGCATTAGCGTAATGGAACGCGCTGAAGTATCATCTCTGCACGAAAAGAGTGCGCGGAGGTTTACTGACAGGCAGGTAGGACAGCCTATCTTAGTCCTCGGACTGAGTGATATGATTGGACGAACACGCCTTCCACAGATGATATAAATACACATACATACATTTAGACCACTTAACTTGATTGCTATTGGGATGTGAAGAGACTTTCAACCAGCAAAAAAAAAAATGTTTTTGAACCAAATCACCGACCTTGCCTTTAAACATGTCGCTTTCAGTTAGAATTACAACTTTATTTTCTACTATAAAGCAGTATATAAATATGTATAGAATATGTATAACTTAATATTTAAATGACTTGCAAAAGCTGAATAATCAATCAAAGCCTACTGCTTAATCTGCGAAATAATCGATTAGTCGATTGATCGTTCTAATAATTGTTTGATTAATCGATTATAAAAATAATTGTTGGTTGCAGCCCTACAAAGAAACAATCTCATTTTGTCATTCATTAAGTTGTAATGGAAAGAGCAGCCTGAACATTCTTTAAAACAGCTTCTTTTATGTTTCACAGATGAAAACATAAACAAAAGTCATATAAAACAATATATTACCTTGCGTGGCGAATGGAGGCGATAGCATTGCTGAAATCGCTGTCAATACTGCGGCAGTTGTAAAACTCCTGGTAGGCATGACGGGACGAGCCCTGGTACTCGATGCGGCTGATGCGACAGATACCAACGATGAGGATGATGAGCATCAAGACGAAAGCCACACACAGAGCGCCGATGATTATGTACAGAGAGTGACGAGGCATATTGGTCAGCGAGTCGACCGGCTGAGCCATCTTCCACTGCAGATCTGAGAGAAAGATGAGAAGGATGAAGAAAGAGAGACAAGAAAGTGTTATTGGGTGTCTTCCTGAGAAAAAACTTGCCACTATGCTATGTGGTTGCTAAGGACTTCTGTTATAAAGTTGCTAGGGTGTTCTGGATAGTTGCTAGGGGGTTCTGGGTGAACAATGCAGTTCCTTACATTTACAACAGCAGCCTAGAATGAAATGCTAGCAGTCTGATGAAATGCTTTAATAACAGCCACAGACTGAGCGACAGCTAGCAAGGACATATACACACCCATAAACACAGTGGGATATTCCTGAGAATCTCTGAATGGCAAGTGTCTTAATGGCTGTCTGATCCAATAGCGGTGGAAATTGAAATTGATAGTCAAGTTGAACACAATGCATTGTGAGATACGGTATATTGTGAAGTGTGCCATATTGCACACTTACACTGGCAAATGTATTAGGAGGCCCTCCGCTTCGTGTCGTGCCTAACAATGCCCCTTAGCTGTTATAAATTCACTGTAAACCACGGCTTCTTGGGGCTTATTGTTTTATTAAATAACATTACACAAAATAAAAAGTTGATTACAATATATTTTTTAATTAAAATAAATAAAATAATAATGTAAATAAATAAATACTACATCTAACAGTACAGTACTACATGTAAAAAGTATCTTAACACTTTTATTAATATTGCTAAATATTTACCCAATTATTAGAAACTAAATATTTACGAAATAATATTTTACACAATATCATTTTTTCCCAATATAAACTTTATAAATGAAAATATATAGCTGCCTTTTAAAATCCTTGTCCCTTGCACAAGTATGATCATATTTAGAGGTCTGTGGCTTCTAATAGATTGAAAATCCCAATATTAGTAGTAGTAGTTATTCCGAACACAGACAGAGACACAAATATATCATACAAACATAAACAAACACTAATATTCACCCATATATCCTGGAGGACACACACAGGATGTGTTTCTCTCTCCACTGTCACAGCGTCCTCCATTCTGGCACCTGAGCCTCAGACAGGGGTCCTTATATATCTCACAGTGCTTACCTGAAATAACCCACATCACATTAATCACGTAGTTTTTTTACTGACATTTTTAACTCCGAGTGCATTAAACGCACCTGTGAACTGTGGGGCGCAGATGCACTCGAAAAAGCAAAATTAAATAATAAAAATAAGATTACACAAAATAAAAATTTGATTATAATAAATAGTTTTATTAAAAATAAATAAAACATGTAAATAAATAAACAAACAAAAAAATACTACATCTAACAGTATAGTACTATAGGCAAAAAAGGTAAAAAATAATTTATAAAATGGATATTTCCGGTCCTTGATTCGTTGTCTATAGCAATCAACAGCATGTCATAGATGTGGTTGATAGAGCTTAAGCTGTATTTTAACTTAAATATTCCTAGAGAGCCACTAGAGAGCAGTGTTTAGTTTAGTTGGGGTTTACAGGATTAGGTGAGCAGGAGCAAACTGATGGCACAGATGACTGAGAATTTTTTCTTTCTTTCTGTATTGTGTATATTGATCCATAGATATCATCTTGTGTATATTATATTGTAAAATGTATGCACGAAAATATTTGACGAAGTAAAGTAACAGCATATAGTAATGTGAGGTGCAAAATGTCTGCATTAAAGGGGTCATATGATGCTGCTAGCCTTCTTTTTTTGCGTGAACATTTGGGCGGTGTTATGCAAATCTTCGCACATCGTGACGTAGACATGTGGGGGCGTGTTAGAACGAGCCGTTTTAGGTAGGCGTGGTTGACTCTTAACTTTTATAAAGAATATCTCTTTGGATTTGAGACTTTAGTCTTTGCAACTTTACAGATCTTCTTTATGCACCAAGAGCTTGTAACACTCCAAAGAGAAAGAAAAAATTTTAATCGCATCATATGACCCCTTTAAGCATTTCTTGGCTCTTCCAAACACACACACACATGATGAACACTACATTATTTTACATATTACTTTGTTTTGAGTGGCTATGCAGCTGCTAGGGTGTTAAGTGTGGTTGCTAGATGATTATTTACTGTTTTAACTCAAAAGAACCCACCAACAAATATCTATGATTTTCTCTATAAATGGCTCCATTCCCTTCTTCAATGTAAGAATATGAGATTTCTTTTTCATTGAGCATGTGAAAACTTTGGAGTAAAGGATCTGTTTAAATCGCTAACCCCAAGTAAGAGCAATAATAATAGTGATGCTAAAGATCAAAGTAAAAACACTGAACACAGAGCATTTCAAAGTATACCGCATTTCTCGCAAACGCATTTCTCTCCAGAAGTTATGATTACTGATGAAATTGTCTTGGGTTGTTCAAACTTTTTATGCATTTTGGCCGGTCATTCACATGAAAATGCAAACTTTTGAAAATGTTTTTAAAGTCCCCATGAAATCAAAATTAAAGTTTTTTGGGTGTTAGTATCAATATGTTAGTCTTAAGGTTATCTATAAGGCAGTGTGCTCCAAAAATTTGCATTTAGAAGATATAAGCATTCAAAGCTTGCAGTTCCTCACGATTCCAACGATTTTTTTTGACGTCACATCGTACTTCAGCTTCTCATCAAACTTTCTGTCCAATCAAACGCTCTCTAGAATCCGAAGCGCCCGCCCCCTACACTATAAAATAGACGCTGAAGATTGTCCAGAATGTCCACAGAATTAGTATTTTCTGTACAGTGAATGGCACGTAGTGCACTATATAGTGTACAGGGAACGATTCAAACAGTGTAAATATGCTTTCCATTGAGGAAAAAAAAGAAGTATGGTTTCGTGTGGCTGGCATACCCTGTCAAATGCGGCTTTACGGAGCTCAACGGGACGGCTCTGGCCCAAGCTGTGATATAAACGAATGCTATTGGCTATTATAAAAAGGGGCGGGGCTGCTTGATATGTCCCGCCCTGTCTTCCTGTTTCAGTTAAAATGACGTCAACACAGAGTAACGCTGCGTGTTTCTAAGCATTTCAGGGGACCTTTAAAGTGCACGTTTTTTTAAAACAATACAATTATCGTCCGGTGTAATCTACAAAAATGTGATTTTATGAAAACGCTGGCTGAGGTCACGCGCATGCTGGTTAGGGTTAGGGTTAGTGCAGTACATGCATACTATGATGATACTGAAATTTACATAAACCCAGGCCCAGAATGCTGCCCTTAAATCGTTTGATCATTTGTTTTGCTGAGGACCATTTTGTGTTTACTGAGTGTGCAAATCTCAGCAATCCCACAGGAACGGACATTTGTCGTCAGCAGTGTCGTCTTCATAACGCAATCCCATTGAGCATTACTTGCAATCCCCCCGGAGAATGTTTAGGTCCCATCGGACACCTCTTGTCAGAGTAGGGTGATAGACTGATCTGGCTGCACAGCTGGTGCAGTCACACTTCACAGACAATGATGTCTGAGCACGTAATACGCAGGAGGCAGTTGCCATGGCAACCAGACGGTCTTGGAAGGAATGTAAGGGAGAGCACAGCTATGTGCACAACCCAACGAGATCCTCACCTGGTACACACAGGCACCTATAACTAGTGCCGATGCTGCGGCAGATGCCATGAGCGCATGGGTTGAGGGCGCAGAAGTCCACTAGCTGGGCGCAGGTATGTCCGGTGAAACCTGCAGGACAGGTGCAGCTGAAGCCCAAACCGGCACCATGTGGGGAGCAGCTGGCATTATTGTGGCAGGGCCCAGAAGCACAAGGATCAATCTTCTGCTCACACTTGACACCCTGATACCCTAACAGAGAGAAAGAGGAAGAGACTAAGATGTGCAGTATTGCATAAAGAAACCAGTTTGAGTCTGATGCAGTTCATTCGATCTGAATCATGTAGCCTTCAATCTCAATAAAAACACATTAAATTTTAATACATCATACACACAAGAGATAATCGGTTTTAGCGACCGATAATAGCTTTTCCTTAATGGTAATCAAATATCAATATCGGTCAATCTCTAATACACCCGCACAACATTTGATTTTGATGGGAACTTTGTTTTTATAGAGCTAAAGATATTTTTATCCCTAAAACTAAATCTCACAAAAATAAGTAACACATCTTAATTTAAAAGCTCATTCAATTTTAATACATCGTACAAACTAGAGATTGGCCGATAATTGGTTTTAGCAACCGATAATAGCTTTTCCTTAATGGTATATCGGTTTGGCGATATCAGATCCACCAATATTATAAATAAATGTGTTTAAAAATATGGGTGACTGACAGCGTTTGATAAGATGTGCTTGTCATTTGCTACAGATGCCCTATTCACTTTAAAGACTCAAACTAGTACTGTCAGCAAGTATTTTATAACCTATTCTAGACGGCAACAAAGAAAATTACAGCCATGAAGAACGTGAGAGAACATCTACTATTCAAAGATGAGAAAACCCGTGAACACGGATGAGATTTTATGTGACAGTATTTGACAGATGTTGTTACCATTTAAAGTCACAATGAAATGGAAGTAGCGACAGATCTGTTCTTACACATTGTGACAAACATTTGAGCGTAAAGGATTATTGAAAAAGAATAAAATGTAGAGCGGCTGTTGACTGGATGTTGAGATCTGGGTGTGGCATTCTGAGATGGATGTGATCTTGTAGGGGTGGGTTCAAGTTCAAATTTATCAGTTGTTTGTTTAAAAAGTCAGTAAAAAGAGAGACCATATGTCAAGACAACCAGAATTCTGCATACAAGCGTGTGCAGGCACACATGTACAGTACAGTGTATGTTTTGTTTTTGTGGATTTGTAGTCTCCTCTAACATGCACGCACCAGCAGATTACAAGCTTGGTGGCTATGATCCCCCCCAATAAATGTCAATCACACACAGAGAAATAGAGCTCAGTGCGCCGATCCGCCCACAGTTTCCCTTACGGAAGCAATTTCATGCATTATCTTAATGAAACTCTCGCAGCCTGACAGAGCCAACATGAATGTGCTTCACTGCCAGTATTAGAGGAATAGTTCTCCCCAAAATAAAAATGCTGTCATTATTTATTCCTCCTCCTGTTGTTCCAAACCTGTATGCTCTTGTTTTTTTTTCAAAACTATGACAGGTCATAGTGACCACGACTGTGAAGCTCCAGCAAAAAAGCACCTTAACAGTCGTCCATTTAACTTGTGTACTATTTCATTTTTCTGAAGTCAAACGTACATGTAAACTCAAATCAATGTCAATTTGGATGACCAAGCCTCACAGACATCAGACATCACACAATTGGTAGTACCATATTTCATCTGAGAGCTTAATCGAAGCAGAATATTTGCAGTGAATACGGCTTCAGAAGACTTGGAGCATAGCGCATGAGTAATTTGGACTACTTTTATAGTGCATTTATGGCAATTCATAAATGTGCATATTACCAACTGTGATTGTATGATAAACTGCTTTGAAAAAATCATCCAATTGTGTTCCACTGAAAGAATACATTTACAGGAGGAGAATAACCAATTTTGCTTCATTCACAGTATACAATGCCATGTTTATAAGATATTTTTATCCCTTAAACTAAACCTTACAAAAACACACAACACATTTTAATTTAAAAACACATTCAATTATAATGCATCGTACAAACTAGAGATTGACCGATAATCGGTTTAAGTGACCGATAATCACTTTTCCTTAATCCTGTGTCGGTTTTGTAATATCGGATCCACCGACAATGTATAACAATGCATAATTATTCCAGGGAACTAGTTGTGTTTGCATGATTTTTAAAGTAAAACATTAAATAAATATAAATTTTGCATATCAGTTTTCAGACAAATAAACATACAAACAATCGCATTGTTATCGGTTATAAAAACATCTATATCGGTCAATCTCTAATACACAAGCAAACTTTTTTTTGCTTGGAACTTTCCTATGAGTTCTACTGTTTTTATAAAAAAAACCTTCTCAAAAACCCTTTTGCATTAAGACATGATTTAGTTTATTAAGCTGTTTTCCTCATGGGGATGTTGGTGATTTCAGGTTTTACTATCCTTGTGGGAATATTTAGTGCTTATAATGTTGATAAAACCTGACTCACACACACAAATGACTGCAGTAAACACAATGTTATTTTCCTTCAGATAAAAACAGTAAGAGAAAAAAAAAATTAACAAAGCCTTCAGTTATAAACCAACAAGAATCAGTCAGCCAATGTTGGTTTGCTGCTTTTCTTACAACACTGCTAATTAACATCATTTATGCCCTCCTGTGTTTTCCATAATCCTCTTACAAAAATGGACAGAACGGTAAACAGTGTTCGTTTGTGTGCTTCCACTAGACCCTAACAGATATGCCTTGCCATCAGCATGTCCATGACAGCATTTCTTAAAAAGATAAAACATTGAATGAATATCAGTTCTGCATATCAGTTATCAGACATATAAACAGTCAAATAATTGGCATTGGTATCAGTCAAATATCAAATATCAATATCATTCAATGTCTAATACACCCGCACACATTTGATTTTGATGGGAACTTTGTTTTTATATTGAGCTAAAGATATTTTTATCCCTTAAACTAAACCTTACAAAAACACACAACACATTTTAAATTAAAAACACATTCAATTATAATGCATCATACAAACTAGAGATTGACCGATAATCGGTTTAAGTGACCGATAATCACTTTTCCTTAATCCTGTGTCAGTTTTGTAATATCGGATCCACCGACAATGTATAACAATGCATAATTATTCCAGGGAACTAGTTGTGTTTGCATGATTTTTAAAGTAAAACATTAAATAAATATACATTTTGCATATCAGTTTTCAGACAAATAAACATACAAACAATCGCATTGTTATTGGTTATAAAAACATCTATATCGGTCAATCTCTAATACACAAGCAAACTTTTTTTTGCTTGGAACTTTCCTATGAGTTCTACTGTTTTTATAAAAAAAAAACTTCTCAAAAACCCTTTTGCATTAAGACAAAAAAATTGAACAAAGCCTTCAGTTATAAACCAACAAGAATCAGTCAGCCAATGTTGGTTTGCTGCTTTTCTTACAACACTGCTAATTAACATCATTTATGCCCTCCTGTGTTTTCCATAATCCTCTTACAAAAATGGACAGAACGGTAAACAGTGTTCGTTTGTGTGCTTCCACTAGACCCTAACAGATATGCCTTGCCATCAGCATGTCCATGACAGCATTTCTTAAAAAGACACAGTTGTTTCTTCTGGAAGGCTTTAAATAACTCAAATAACAGGCTCAAATTAATCTTCATTTACACGATCAAAGGCACAAATCCCCGACCTTCAATGTCTCTTGCTCAACCTTTAATTTGTTCTTCATTTTCCATTTTCTTCCCCTGCCCTATCTTTTCATTTAAAGCATCATCAGAGCATTAAAGCTCTGTGCTCTGCCCAAGGTGAACCTCCATTATTCACAAAAACCGTGCTTGGAACTTTCCTATGAGTTCTACTGTTTTTATAAAAAAAAAACTTCTCAAAAACCCTTTTGCATTAAGACAAAAAAATTGAACAAAGCCTTCAGTTATAAACCAACAAGAATCAGTCAGCCAATGTAGGCTTGCTGCTTTTCTTACAACACTGCTAATTAACATCATTTATGCCCTCCTGTGTTTTCCATAATCCTCTTACAAAAATGGACAGAACGGTAAACAGTGTTCGTTTGTGTGCTTCCACTAGACCCTAACAGATATGCCTTGCCATCAGCATGTCCATGACAGCATTTCTTAAAAAGACACAGTTGTTTCTTCTGGAAGGCTTTAAATAACTCAAATAACAGGCTCAAATTAATCTTCATTTTCATGATCAAAGGCACAAATCCCCAACCTTCAATGTCTCTTGCTCAACCTTTATTTTGTTCTAATTTTCTTCCCCTGCCCTGTCTTTTCATTTAAAGCATCATCAGAGCATTAAAGCTCTGTGCTCTGCCCAAGGTTAACCTCCATTATTCACAAAAACCAACACAAGACATATCTACACAATTCATAAGGACATTGCTTCTTGCTAGATTCCTGTTATGCAAATAGAACTTTCATGTTACTATTCTGAATGCATTTAAATGAATAAAAGCACATTGTGGGTAGTTTTCAATGTTTTTTTACATGTTTGATGTTTATGTAGAACTAAATAGGGAAAGGGAATTTTACAGCAAAACTAATAACACTAAATACTGTTCTTTTGATCTTTCTATTCTTAAAAAGCGAGTAATTACATTTGTGCAAAGCTGACAGACTCCCTAGTCATTTATTTATGTTTATGTTCTCCATCTGAAAACATTAAACTTAGTCAATTTAGTTTGCCTGTTGTTAATATTATTGTTGCAGCTGCCATGCATGCCATGTTTTTATTGTTGTGATATGAAGATGAAATGAAATAAAACGAAGTAAAACATTAAATATATATAGGTCCTGAATATCAGTTGAATATAGAAACACGGAAATAATTGGCATCTGTATTGGTTATAAAAATGTATGAAAAAAATTATCACGATTTCTACAAAACTATTAAGCATCACAACTGTTTTCATCATTGACAATAACAATAAATGTTTCTTGAGCATTAAATCTGCTTATTAGAATGATTTCTGAAGGATCATGTGACACTGAAGACTGGAGTAATGATGCTGAAAATTCAGCTTTGATCACAGCAATAACATTTTACATACAATATATTCAAATAGAAAATAGTTATTTAAAATTGTAATAATATTTCACAAGGATCATGTGACACTGAAGACTGGAGTAATGATGCTGAAAATTCAGCTTTGATCACAGGAATAAATTACATTTTACAATATATTCAAATAGAAAATAGTTATTTAAAATTGTAATAATATTTCACAATCTTACTGTTTTTATTGTATTTTTTTTTCATTATTAAAATAAACACAGCCCTGGGGAGTATAATAGACATTTATATAATATTTATAAATCTTACTTTTAAAACTTTTAAAAATCCTAATTTTCATATATATTATAATTGAAACTTACGTAACCACCAAAGAGAACTATTAAAAATGCATAAAGCATTTTAGAAAAAAAATATATATATACACTGTATACTATATATATATATATATACAGTATA